TGGGCCACTGTGGTTGGGGTTGTGGGGTAAACCACAGGGCAGGTCGGCGCCAACATCTCAGGTTGGAAGGAAGAGGATGGTGAGAGGGGATGGGCTCCCTGTGGGCGGACGCAGGCCTGGTTTGTGTTGGTTTTCAGAATCAGTCCTGCTGAGCAGGTGGGCAGGGAGGTCCTCAGGCCTGCCCCATGCTGGAACATCCATGTGGTAGTGCTGCTGCTGTCCTTGGGGAGCACTTTCAGGCCCCTGTCAACCAAGCCCAGGAAGCTCCCAGGAGATGGCAGGTGGCAAGGAAGGCCTGGGTCTCCTCTGTCCTTACAGTCACCTCCTTCCTGGAGAGATGCTGGCCTGATCACTTGCTAACAAGAAGATGCATCATGCTGCGTCCAGATGACGTGGTCACTCTTGCCTCTTGACCCTCTACTCTGCCCTCCTGACCAATGGCTTAGAAACACTGCCTGGCTGAGGTCTGAGCTCATCTCCAGACCTGGACCCTCAGGCAGGGAGCACCTTGCGGTGCCAGGCATGCCAGTTTCTGTCTCATCCCCAGGGGCCCAGCCTGGTACTTCCCAGCACCCAACTCCAGCCTCCAAGGACTGAGGGCACAATGCTGCCCCCTGACCACTGTGTGGGGTTCCTTGGAAAGCCCCTTGCAGGCTCCCAGAGCGCTGTCCCACTGTGTGCCATGGTGCCGTCCGGTGGTCTCTAACCACCGTGTTCTGCTTAAGGCTGTGTGCCCTGTGCCCATTCACTGCTCACTGCCCATGTTCCCGAGCATGTCCAGCTGCCAATCTCAGGTCTCCCGACATCTCCACCCACCTGGGTCCCGGGTTCCAGAGCAGCCACAGCAGGCGGCTGCCCCGAAAGTGGGGTCCTGTCTACCTCCATGTCAACCGCCTGTGAGGGCACCCATATGCCCGTATGAAGCAGTCTGCCGAGTCCTTTACCAGCCCTGCCCTGCCCTGCCCAGGTCTGAGAAGCACTGCCTTGACTGGGTAGCTGTCACAGGGCCATTGTGCAGTAATCAGCCTGGGAGCAGTGCTCTGCTCTGTGTCCCCACCAGCGCTGCCCTCAGCAGGACACCACCGGAACACCCTGCAGTTTAGAGGCTGGGGTAGGTGGGGCTGGGGTCCTCACCAGCTGCCTTCTCAGTGGCACTGGGGCCGGGTCTGTCCTTAGGTCTGTGACCCCCACCTCCCTGCCCCATCACCCCTCCTTGCTGAGATTCCCTGGGTGGCAGTGTCCCCGGGGTTCCTGGGTCCCTCCGGCAGCTGGCTGTGTGGCCTTCTGCTCTCAAGCTTCCCTGGGGCCTACGGAACCATGGCACCCCCTCACCACATGCAAGGCCCCGTGTTTGTCTCGAGCCCCTCCTGACAGCCTCGGCCAGCCTGCTTACACTGGGCAGGGCTTGGCCTTGGCGAGGCTTCTCGTCCTCCCCAGTGGCCGGGGCTCCTGGAAGTCAGTGGAGGTAGCTCCTTGTGGGGACAAACCTCACCACCCCGTGTCACCCACATGTGCCCAGGGCAGGGAGCTTTATATTTCACAGTTGACAACAGGCACTTGTGTCTTGCACACTGGGCCTGCCAGTGACAGTGTCAGAAGTGACAAAGGCACAATGACAGAGACCTTAATCCCCTGCTCCCCGTGGCTGGGCAGGACTTGCCCTCTGTCTGCCAGCATGGTGTGCTGCCTGACCCTTCCCCCACCTTGCCCGGGAGTGGGCCTGTGACCGTCCCCTGCCCTCGGAGCCTCCCCTGGCTGGAGCAGTCTATTCAGACACCCCAGCTAGCTGCTCCAAGGAGGGTGAGGCTGCCCACAGGGCCCAGCTCTGGGTTAGGCTCCAATGTCAGAATCTGGGGCTTTGCTGCTGTCCCAGCCAGGTGGCATCAGGCAGGTCACCTGCCCATCAAGGATCCGAGGATGGCTTCAGACTGCCATTTAACTGTACCTGTTTGTGCCTGGAGAGATTCTAACAGAATCTCAGTGATGCTAAGAGAGGCCCAGGCATGGGCCAAGGGTTCTGAGTTCATCCTGTATTTTGATGGCAGACAAAGGCATCCTGCTTTTGATGGCAGACATGCAGGTCCTGTGGCCCATGGAAAGTGTGTGTGAGGTGCGTGGCATGGGACCTGGGTCTGGGGGCAGTGCCACGGCTGCCTGGCTCAGGGTGCGGGACTTGAATGAGCCATAAGGTGTGTGCCAGCCTTGAGGGCTCATGGCTGTGACCAGGACAGAACAGGACAGGAACTGTGGGATTTGCTTGTCTGATTCTACAGTTGGGGGATTTTAATAGGTTCTGGCCATATTCGTAAATGGCTTCTGGGCTTGTGCATCTCGAGGACCGGAAGCTCCCTCAAGACCTAGAGAGGTGAGAGCCCCCCTTCACAGACACTGGGCTGTGGGCCAGCAGTTTGGGTTCCTCCTGGCTCCTTGGGGTCAGTCCTGTGTGAAGGAGCCTAGGCCCCCAGCTGAGACAGCCCAGACCATTGCCCCATCTTCCCAGGCCAAGCCCAGCTTCTATGATCGATGGCAAAGGGTGCGGGGAGTGTGCAAGCTTCTGGCGGCCGCTGGGAGCCACCAGCACCACTTCCTCCCTGTGAGCAGGAGCCCTGGGGGAGCACAGGGTGACCCATCCAGGACATGTGTGGGACCCTACTGAGCAGCTCTGCTCCAGGTCTTGCCTTCACAGTGACTCCTGCCCTGGCCCTTCATTCTCATGGGGGGGGGGTCCTCTCCCGGGGACCAGCATGTCCTCCTCTGCCTGGTAAATTGTGCGTGTGGTGAGTGGTAAGCCAGCACCCCAGCTGTGACAGGGAAAGGAGAGCTCGGGTGTTTCGGTTCTGCATCCTGGCACCCAGGAGTCCAGAGGGCCAGAAACGGCAGATGCCACAGGACACCCTTTTAGGGGTTTGGTGGACCAAAAGTGACGTTGAGTGTGGAGCAGCCTGGAGTCTTGTATGTGGCCATCCTGTGAGCCTCTCGTGGTTGGGGGGGAGACGAGCCCATCAGAGACCAGTCAGCGTTGTGGGAAGGGTGTTGGGTGGTGGTCACTGCCTCCTCCGCGTGTCCGGACCCGTCAGAGCATTACTGCACGTGAGCAGTGTGATGAGGAGCGGCAGGGGTGGAATTGGAAGGTTTGGTGTGGGGCCGGATTGACCCCAAGCTGGCTTCTGAGGGCTTCATGCCAGTCCCCCGGCTACAGGGTCAGACAGCGATCGTGGCCAGGCCAGGTGCCAGGTGATGGCTCCAGGGGGCCCAGCCCCAGCACATCCCAGGGTAGGAGAAGGAGCTGGGTGACGACACTGCGACTGCCAGGGTGCTGCCTCTGGTGACTTAGTCAGGAGTGTGGAGGACCTGTCTCAGGCCGGCAGAGAGCATCCCCACAGCAGGGAACACGGGTCTTGTGGGGGACAGTGGGGATGTGGCGGGGTCCTGACCTGCTCTGATCAGCCCTTTCTATTCTCTGTGCTGTTTGGAGCAGTGAGTTCATTCTGCAGCTGCTTCAGGGTTACCAGGCTCCGTGGTATGATCAGTCAGGAGCTACCTTGGTCTCAACGGTCAGCAGAGCTGCAGCCACCTAGACGGCTGGGGCCTGGAGGCCCTGCCACTCACTGTTCCCTGGCTGTGTGAGCAGCGACACACCCAGGCACCACTGGGCCAGTCTGTCCGGGGCAGGTCCCCATGCAGCACATACGGGGGCCTCGACCCAGTGCGGTGGGGTTGCCCTCTCATGCCCAGGTCAGGGAACTGAGGTTGCGTACATCCCCAGGCAGAGGGCAGAGTGGTGCCCTGGGCGGGAGCAGGCATCGAGTGCCCACAGCAGGGTGCTCCGGGGCCCTGGGCTCACACATGGGCAGCCCGGGGTTGATGGCCCTGCTGTTCCTGCTCCACCCAGCGTCACAGGGCCAGCCCTGGGGCCCTGCAGAGCATGGGAGCCGGCCTCCTGGGTCCTCGTAGTCAGAGCCAAGGCTGCCGGTCACTTAGGGCTCACATGGCAGCATGAGGGAGGCAGGTTGGGTGTGCTTTGATCTTTGCAATGAGGTGCTGAGTGGATGAATAAACCCTGGCTTGCACTCTGGCCCTGGGTGTGTCCTCGTGTCTGTCTGTCTCTCTCGTGAGTGTGGGAGGGTGGGTGCATATGTGTATGATGTGTCTCTGTGCACATGTATGTGTGGTGTGCATGGTGTCAGTGTGTTGTGTGTGGCATTAGTGGTGTATGGTGTTAGTGTGTCTGGTGTGTGTGTGATGTTCGTGGTATGTGGTGTTGGCATGTCTGATGTTCGTGGTGTGTGGTGTTAGCGTGTTTGGCGTGCATGTGGCAGTAGTGGTGTGTGGTGTTAGCGTGTCTGGTGTGTGTGATGTTTGTGGTGTGTGGTGTCAGCGTGTCTGGTATGCATGTGATGTTCGTGGTATGTGGTATCAGTGTCTGGTGTGCGTGTGATGGTGTGTGTGGTGTTAGCATGTCTGATGTGCATGTGATATTTGTGGTATGTGGTGTTAGCGTGTCTGGTGTGCATGTGATGTTTGTGGTGTTAGCATGTTTGGTGTGCATGTGTCAGTGGTGTATGGTTACAGTGTGTTAGTGATATATGATGTATTAGTGTGTTGATGTGCTATAGTGTAAGGTTAGCATGTTGGGGTGTGTGTGTGAGGCATGTGTGGTTGTAGCTGCAGTGTTAGTATGTTGGGCCATGTGTGTGAGGGGTGTGTGGTTGTGACTGTGGTGTTAGCATGTTGGGGCACATGTGTGTGAGGGGTGTGTGGTTGTGATGGCGGTGTTAGCATGTTGGGCTGTGTGTGTGAAGGGTGTGTGTTTGTGACTGTGGTGTTAGCATGTTGGGGTGTATGTGGTTGTGCCGCGTGTTAGTCTGTTGGGTGTGGCATAGCAGTGGTGAGGGTGTGGCATGTTCGAGTGGGCCATGTGTGTCCGGAGGGCTGCCCCCAGGGCAGGGGTGCCGTCCTCCCCGACACGCCCACTGACCGTGCTGCCTCCCGCAGGACAGCTGTCCTCAGCGAGGGCCCCTGTGCCCGGCCCTGAGCGTGCGCCATGGGCTTGCTCGCCTACCTGAAGACGCAGTTCGCCGTGCACCTGCTCATCGGCTTCGTCTTCGTGGTCAGCGGGCTGGTCATCAACTTCATCCAGCTGTGCACGCTGGCCCTGTGGCCCATCAACAAGCAGCTCTACCGCCGCCTCAACTGCCGCTTGGCCTACTCGCTCTGGAGCCGTGAGTGCCGCCTACGTGGCCCAGGCGTGGGGGTGGGTGCCACCACTGGGATGTTGGGGAGTACGCTGGGCGGGGCTGGCCTGTAGGCCTTGGGGCTCCCATGCCAGGGCCTCTGAACCGTAGGCCTGGCAGCTCCCTGTGCTTTGGCCTGGGGCTGTGGATGAAACCCAAAGAGCAAAGCATCACGGGAAAGGGTGCAGATCTGCCCAGGGGAGGGACTATGAGGGAAGGGGCACTGCACCAAGGCCAGTGAGGAGGAGGCTGTGGCTATGGCACAGGGACCAGTGAGGAAATGAGAATTCGCACGCAGAGCCCAGACACTGTCAGCCCAGCCTCAGGCTCACACTAGGGCACCCAACTGCAGCCAGGCATGGGGCTCCCGCTCCACACCCAGGGGCAGGTGTGCACATCCAGGAGCCTGTGTAACACCACTGTCCCCCTGTACACAAGGCGGTCCATGGTGGCGCTGTGTAACCAGTGCGTCCCTGGAGAGCGATGTGGAAGCCCTGTCCACAGTTTCCCTGAGCTGCTCCACGGCCACAGGGCAGGGATGCCGAGCTCACAGACAGGCCATGGGGACCCGCATTCTGCAGCTGGCAGTGAGCCTCCTGCCCTTCATGAGACCGAACACGAAGTGTCCTTGGATGGAGTCTCCTGCAGCCCGTGCCCCAGCAGAGGAGGAAGCTGCATGACCGCACAGCTCACTGCCTTCCTGACTTGTCCTGTGCAAGCGCCTTGGGGTGGCGTGCAGTACCCCGCAGGAAGTGGGTACCCCAGGGGCGGTGCACTGGGGAGTGGGTGCAGGGGGCCTTCCATCCTCCCCGTCACGGCTGCCACTGGGCCACAGTGCTGTCTTCAGACCCCATACCTGGCTCAGGAGTGGCAGTGTCTGGGCCCCTCTCAAGCGCTTCACAGGCCAGGCCTGCACGTGGCAGCCGTGGCTCCCAGAAGGTTGGTTTCCATTTTTAATGAAAAGCTGTGGGAACAGAACTGGAGAGTCCACAACCCATGGCATGCCATTGCCATCCTGAGTCTCGCAGCAATGAGGACACCATGGGAGGGCAAAGGTGGATTCGCAGAGACCAAGCGACAGCCCCACTCCCACCCGACCCGTCTGCCACTGTGGGACAACCAGACTCGCTCAGCAGAGCGAGAAAGTGGGTGACACAGCTGCCTTGATCGTGACTGCTGGAAGAGGAGGCTGAGGCAGTCTGCACCATACCCTTGAGTGGCTCTGGGATGCTGTGCACAGGATGTGGGCTTGTAAGGAAGATGAAGTGCAGATGGAGCCCACAGGTGCCGACGGAACAGTCAAGGCTTCTCGAAGCAGCAACCTGAGGGGCCTTTCACTTGGGCCGACGCTGTCAGTGCGACAGCCTGGCCGGATGCAAGTGCTCAGACACTGCTGGGCACAGCAGAGGATGAGCACCAGAGGATGAGATCCTTGGAGCCGCTGCTGGAAGGCATAGGGGTAGAGGACAGGGCCGGAAATGGGTGCCAGCCCCGCTCAGAGGAGAGAAGCAGGGTGCAGTAGGGGTGAAGCTCCTCAGGGCAGTAAGCGAGTACCTACCACGAGGCAGCATCAGCAGGGCCGAGCCCTGACACCTCAGTAACATCACAGGCACTGGAGAGGCTGGGCCACCAGGGCGCACAGGCAGAGGGGCCACAGCAGCCCAGGTGGACCTCAAGGGACTCAGCCCAGGGAGGCAGGGTCACCACAGCCCGCAGATGACATCGGCCAGAAGAAAATGAGTTAAAGACACCGGCAGAGCACCCCCCACAGAAATGAAGAGCGTTCACCGCCCACACTGTACCAGGGATTGAACTCACAACCTTGTGCTTGTCAGGCAGGTGCTTAGGCCATTGAGCTAAATCCTTGGCCCGCTATTATTATTTTGGGGTGGGGGCGGTCTTTTTCCTTTTTATCGGTACCGGGAATCGAACTCACAACTGCCTGCTTGCAAGGCAGGCGCTTATGCCGCTGACTAAATCCCCAGCCCCCTATTTTTTTAAGAATAGAGTTGAAAGCCAGGTGTGATGGTGCACGCCTATAATCCCAGCCCTCGAGAGGCTGAGGCAGTAGGATCACTGCAAGTTCAAGGCCAGCCTGGGCTACCCAGCAAGACACTGTCTCAAAAAAACAACACAAAACAGAATTGGCCTCCAAACGAAGCATGGTGGCACACGGCTGTAACCCTGGTACTTGGGATCCATGGTAGGAAGAGCCCCAGAAATTCAAGGTGAGCCTGGGCCACGTAGCGAGACCTGTCTCACAAAACCAACAACAAAAAGCCAGAGGAAAAAGAACAGATGAATAAAAGAATAACCATCGCCAAAGTTGACCCTGCATTTCCAGAAAAAATGGCAGCCCAAGAAACTGCAAAAAACTGGAAACCATGTGAAATAACAGCGCTGCCTGCGGGCTGAACTGTGCCCTGCACTCCGACAAGCAGCTTCACACAGGGTACTCCCGGCCGTGCTGGTGTGGTGTCTCCCAGCCGTGCCAGTTCGGTGTCTCCCAGAGCAGGTCCAGGCCTGCCCTCCAGCTAGCGCTGGACCTGCACAGTGTGGACTGAACACCAGCCCACTGGCACCCCCTGAAAGGAACTCGAGTACAATTGGCTCTTTGCTGGGCAGAGACACAAGACTGCTCCCCATGGAATCCTGCAGACCGGAGCTTCTCATGAAGAGGCTGCGTGCAACCTCCACCCAGGACAGCAGTCCCACTTCCCCAGTCTGCCCTTAAGCAGGCACAGGCCTGTGGGCTCCAGGCAGGACAGGGATGGACACAGATCTGAGCACTGGTGGCCACCCATGTGCCACCAGTGCCCTCGGCAGCACCTGCTGCCCTCGGAGCTGGACCCCACTGCCCGAGGAGCAGACACTGGTGTCAGCTGGGAGGGTGGGCTACAGGGCACAGGTTTCCTGGCACACACGGCCCTGTGCCTGTACCAGAAGTGGGCAACATGGAAGTCCCTCTTGCAGGCCGGCCTAAAAGGGCTCACAGGGCTCATTGTTTTTTTGCGGTACCAGGAATCGAATTCATGACCTCAACCTTGCCAGGCAGGTGCTTATGCCACTGAGCTAAGTCCCCAGCTCTTCATTGGTTATAAACTTGCAAAAATTTTGCTCCAGAATATAAAACCCAAGGAAGCATTAGAGCAAACCACCACCACCCCCACCACGTTCCCAAGACACAACTCTTCTCAGTTTTTCCAACTGTGAACCCCAAGTTGCAGAGGCCCACTTCCCACCCACCATAGGCTGTTGGTAGTCGAGTAGCCTGTCCGTGGGCACAGCGCCTGAGGGACTGCCCCTGCCCTTTCTGGCCTGTGCCAAGAGTGGCCAGTGAGCCCTAGAAACTCATGGCTGGTAGAGACCTCTGCACCCGTCCCTAGCGCCCCCAGCACACGTCCTGAGCCCTGCACCAACACCCTTGCCCACTGCCTGCAGAGCTGGTGATGCTACTGGAGTGGTGGTCCTGCACCGAGTGCACACTCTTCACTGACCAGGCCACCATGAACCACTTCGGGAAGGAGCATGTGGTCGTTATCCTCAACCACAACTTCGAGATCGACTTCCTATGCGGGTGGACCATGTGCGAGCGGTTCGGCGTGCTGGGGGTGAGTGAGCTGCCCGAACCAGGCTCCGGACTCTCTCCTGGGAGACAGCCACGCCCGTGTCCTGGGGTGGGGTGGGGCTCTGATGGGCTTAGGGCACCCTCCTGTATCTCCGTGGCCTGGCCACACCGCTCCTTCCACCCCTGAGGTGCCTCAGCCTTCTCCTCCACCCTCCAGAGCTCCAAAGTCCTAGCCAAGAAGGAGTTGCTGTATGTGCCGCTCATCGGCTGGACGTGGTACTTCCTGGAGATCGTGTTCTGCAAGCGGAAGTGGGAGGAGGACCGGGACACTGTCATCGAGGGGCTGAAGTGCCTGGCCGACTACCCTGAGTACATGTGGGTAAGTGTGGCGCAGGCGGGGCCTCGGGTCCGTCTTCCTGCTCAGACCCTGGGGGCTCGGAGCTTCCTGGGTACTGTGTCCCTGTCATCTCCGACAGTAGCCAGGCTTTGACCTGCTGAGTGCTGGGGGCAAGGGAGGGCAGAGAGTGTGGAGGACGTCCCTGGGCCCCAGCCAGTGACCCTCATGAGTGTCTTCCAGCTCTTGAGCATCTCTCTCTAGCTCGGGTTTCTAATGCCCAGGGCGTGGGGACCAGACAGACTGGCTCTGCTGTCCTTCTGTGGTCGAAGGCCACAGCCCAGAGATGCTGTCCAGTGTCGCCTCATTCCAGAGAGTTCTGTCCAGAAAGCAGTGCTTCATATGGGTCTGTAATAAAACAGCTGAGGATCTTGCCATGTGCCTTGTCTTGGGTGGCTCAGAGGCTGGGGTTGCTGAGGCCCCGGGCAGCGCGGGAGCTCTCTTGTTGGGGCTTTGGCTCCCGCGGACAGCCCCGGTGTGACCCTGTGTCCCCGTGTGCCCCCCAGTTCCTCCTGTACTGTGAAGGGACGCGCTTCACGGAGACCAAGCACCGTGTCAGCATGGAGGTGGCCGCCTCCAAGGGACTGCCCCCGCTGAAGTACCACCTGCTGCCGCGGACCAAGGGCTTCACCACCGCAGTCCAGTGCCTGCAGGGGACAGGTAGGGGCCACAGGCCACCGCTGTCTTTGGGCTCCTGCGTGCCACAGGAGCTGTGCCAGGTGTGGTGCACACCTGTAGCCCCAGTACGCAGGAAGCTGAAGCAGAAGGATCACTGTGAGTGTGAGGCGAAAGTCTGGAAGTGAGTTCAAGAGCAGCCTGTACTGCATAGCAAGACCTTGTCTCAAAGGAAAAAAAGAAGAAAGATAAAAAACTGAAACCTCTTAAAATATCCATGTCAGCGTTGTATAAATTAGTCACTGAAGTGTGCAGGCAGAGCAGAGGCCGAGTGAACACAGCAGAAGGTACTCAGGACAGGGTTTTGTTTAATTTTAGTTTTATTTATTTATTTATTTATTTTTGGTACCAGGGATCAAACTCACTACCTTGCGCTTGCCAGGCAGGTGCTTTTGCCACTGAGCTACATTCCCGGCCACACGGCACAGTTTTAAGATGATAAAGCACTCATGAGAAACAGTTATAGAAGATACACAGGGATGATTAAAGGTTACAGTGGGTGTTTACATGTCTGGAATTCACTGGAATGAAAGATCCTTGCCTTGAGCTCCCCCCCAGACCTCACTGCACACCACTCCTCCCAGCATCCCACCACTTCCCGCAGCAGCTCCGGAGTCCCCTCTCCTCAGGGTCTTTAGCTGGGCTGTCCTGGCCGCCTTGCTGTCCTGAATGGATTCAAAAGGTGCCCCTTTCATGGTCACTATGACCTTGGGGAGGAGCTGGAAGTCACACGATGCCAGACCCCATGAACAAGGCGGATGAGGACGCAGCATCGTGATTTTAGGAGCCGCCTGTCCATCAGCTGGTCCTCGGCTGTAGCATTCACTGTGTCTTTTATCCTTTTCGTAAAGACCCTCAGGAAAAAGGGCTCCCAAGCTGCTGCAGAAAGCGTTCAGCACAATGGTGTAAGACTAGAGCAAGGGGAGGATTCCCAGCAGTGTGTCTTTCACTGTCATAATTTTTTTGAGAATTTTGTAATGGAAAAGTTTATAAGGGAAAATGTGATCACAGATCCATGTAATTAATATGCACGGAGCTGGAAGGAAGGGGGAGCACGCAGAGGACAGGTGGAGAAAGGGGGAGGTGCGGACTATGGCACACCCGGTGGCAGACGCGGGAAGTACAGGCCAGAGCTGCCCTCGAAGAGCTAGGGACACAGGAGAGGGCAGAAGGGACCGCTCAGCCCTCTGGTTTTTCTTCTCCCATAGTGGCAGCTGTCTACGACGTGACCCTGAATTTCAGAGGAAACAAGAACCCGTCCCTGCTGGGGATCCTCTACGGGAAGAAGTATGAGGCGGACATGTGTGTGAGGTGAGTGTGCTGCCTGCGCCACCTTCCCCAGAGCACAGCTCTGGGCCTCCAGACGACCGGCAGGCCACCAGGGAGCATGGGCCGAGGGCGGTGCCCAAGGGCCTCGGCATCCCCAGCTGTCCATCAGGGCCAGCACGAGGCCATCTCCTGCCTCTCTCCTGCGAAGCCATGCCGGGTGCCCTGGGTAGCCAGTCTGGGGTGGGCTTAGCATCTGGAGGACATGCAGTGGGAGGGGCTGTGCGGGTTCCAGGGGATGTTATGCGGGGTTGTGTTGTTGATGTCGCACGTGCAGAAGTGGGGTTTGTGGGCCCTCATGCTCTCAGCTCCCCTGCGGCATCTGACCTCCCTGAGCTCAGATTCACCTGCTTGGTGACCTTTGAGAGGGAAACGGCACCCTGTGCTGTAGGCTGTGGAGCTTGAGCCTGAGCAAGTTTAGAAAGAACTATTCCTGGCCGCCACCCCGCTGTAGGAGCACCTGGGACAACACCTCCAGGGTAGACATCGAGTGAGCGGCTGTGTCCACACTGTAGGCTGCAACTGCAGGGTCCCCCTCCATCCTGGCCGTCACTGTGGCGAGTGTTGGGGTGATGGATTGATGCAGGGGAGCTCACTCGTTTGGAGCTTTCAACCGTGACACTTGGGCGGTGCCCTGGACCTGTGGGGAGTCACACTGTGGCGGACCATGGCGGAGGAAAACTGCGTGCCTGGGCAGCCAGGAAGCAGGAGAGGAATAGGCTGGGCCCAGAACGCTGTCCTCAGTCCTGGCCCCAAGATCGAGGACTCCTCTGCTAGGCCCTGCCTCTGAGGCTCCCCTGCACCCCTGGACCAACCCTTTGTCAAGAATGCTGTCCCTGGAGCCATCAGAGATCCAGACCATGGTGCCCACTGCAGCACAGAGGGGTTGTCCATTCTGCTGGGGTTGGACCTTGTCATCTTCAGAGCTGGCTTTTGTCCCCAGCTGGGAAGCAGCGTGACCTCTGACAGGTGCCCGAGGTGGCCAGAATTACTGCACGTTTTAGTCACTTTCTCCCGTCTGGGACACAACACCCACAGCACCCACAACTCGAAGGTGGGAGGACTGTGGGGTATCCCAGCTGATAGAGGTTCCAGGCAATGGCCAGTGGGCTCCACAGCCTGCGGGAAACAGAGGGCCAAGGGAGGAGTGGGCAGGCGGGAACCTTCCAGGCCATGCCCTAGGGCCCGCCTCCTAACCATGTGGCACATGCCCACATGTGGGACTTAACCCACGAGTGAGACAGCAGCGCAGCAGGCTTGAGCTCTGTAGCCTGACCCAGGGAGCAGGGACCCAAGGCAGCCTGGAAGGCTGCACTCACGCCCCCTCCTGGCCATCCTGGGCACAGCGCCCACCTCACACAACACCCCTGGAAAGACAGTTTCTCACTGGCTGTAGTTTTTTGCTTTTTGTTTTGTTTTTAAGCCTACAATACAGAGACTTCTTTGTCCCTCATAAAAGTCCACTGTACACCAGATGGCTCTCTGGGCAGCTGCACTGTCCCCACGGTGGCCCTGGGCTGCTCTAACTCAGCGATGATTCTGCAAAACTGTAGCAGAGTCTAGAGTGCCCAGCCGAGTGCTAGCCATTGGGCTCCTTGCTCAGTCTCAGGGCGATAGAGCTCATGGGGGCTAGGGACATGTGGGTTCCAGCACCGCAGGACAGGGGAGCAGAAACCACACCTGCTATGCTTGAGGCCTGGAGAGGCAGGACTAAGCCCCATGGGTACCTCAGTCCCTCCCACGCTGGGCACCCTGCACTGTGGCCTACAGGTGAGGCTCACACCTTGGACTCCTCTGGGCCACCCTGCCAGCCAACGCTTGGTCCCCTGGCTGGGGATCTCACTGGTTGATTGGGGTGCAGGCTGGGCGTGGGGTGTCTCCATTCCTGTCTTTTTTCACACTTGGCAGCAAGTGCACTTTGAAGGAGAATGGTTAATTCTCAGTCGTGATTATTTCCTAGGAAGGGGAGGCTGAGCGAGGCTGTCCTCCTGCGACGCCCATACATCCCCAGACAGGGAGATTCCTCCTAGGCCTCCCCGGGGCCCTGGCAGTGCCCGCTGGGCTCCATGTCGGGGAGGGGGCACCGAGGAGGAATTGCCGTGCTTCTTGCCTGCTTAAAAGGCAGAGTAAGGCCAGAGTGGGACACGCACCCCTGTGGCCCCTGTGAGCCACCATGGCTCATTCTTGCTCTTGGTCTTCTGTGCCGCAGGAGGTTCCCTCTGGAGGAGATCCCACAGGACGAGCGGGAGGCAGCACAGTGGCTGCACAAGCTGTACCAGGAAAAGGTAACGATGGGTGCGTCCCTGGGCCTTGGGCCCCGGGCAGGTTTGGGAGAGGCAACGCATGAGTTGCCCAAACTGGACACAGAGACTCTGCCTCCTCAGAAGCAGAGGGCTCCACACACTTCTGGTCCCCTCCTTTTTTCTTCCCTTTTTCTTAACATTTGAGAAGTCGACACTGGGGGAAGGTGTAAAGGTAAATCAGGCGTGGACAGCCACACTGAGGACAGCAACACATTTGTGTCCTGGCTATAGACAAAAAGGTGTGCAGCAGGCATCCCTAGCCACACGGGCAGACACTGGTGCTGCGGGTCTGCTGTGGAGAGCCCAGGGCTTTCCCACGGGACCATGGCCTGCTCACCTGCTCCGAGCTACCCCGAGCTACACTCACTGCCGTGGAACCAGGGCGTCTGCTTCCAGCACGCGGTGACCAGGAAGTCCTTGCTAGGGTGACAGAGGCCCTTTCAGAGGCCCCAGTGAACTCTCAGAGGACAGGGCAGCCTCTGGCAACCCTCACAGTGGGGGTGTTGGCAGAGCCCTGGAAAGTCAAGTCAGGGTTCCACTGCCTCCAGGAAGCAGAAGGCTGACAGGAAGGTAGGTGCAGGAGCCCACTCGGAGCCAGGCCCTCCTGTGGGGTGACCTCGGTGGTGGAGGTGCCTCCTGGGCTGCGGGAGTCTGCCCTGTGACTCAGCTGCCACCCATCCTTGAGGGCTCCGAGTTTGCACCTGTGCTGACCACAGCATGGAGATGAGCAGGAGACCGGATGGTCGCCAGCGCTGCAGGGAGAGACCGGCACAGACACAGGGCTGCGACACTGCATCAGTCTCAGCACCATGGGGATGTTTGGGGGCCCAGACCCTCCTGGACAGCCAGGGACACAGCGTGCAAGTGGGAAGACAAGGCCTCTGAGAGGGACTGGAGGACAGCAGACAGAGACGGGCTAGTTAAGAGCGGACATGGCAAAGGAGAGAACAGGATGAGGTGAGCAGAAGAGAGTAAGGGAGGACAGGAGAGACGCTGCCCTGGAGTGGCCTCACAGGGGTGCACATGGTGCCTCTGCAGCTCCAGCCCTCCAACAGGACTCCCCACAGCCGTAGGTGTGACTCAGCCTCTTCCTAGCTTTGCACTTGTACACATGCACATGCATCTGTAGCATGCACACACGCATGTATACACACACAGGCACGCACAACTGAGCGAGTCCAGTGCAGCCTCGCTGTACCACCTGCTGGACCTCTGGGCCCTGGGGAGGCCCCAGCCTGGCCCCAAGTGGCTGGAACTCAAGATACGCAGTGCCCATCTGGTGGTGGAAGTTGTCTGAACAGAAACTAAAGCTACAGAAAAGAAAACCAAGTGCAGGGGGCTGGGGATTTAGCTCAGCGGCATAAGCGCCTGCCTTGCAAGCAGGCAGTCGTGAGTTCAATCCCCGGTACCGATAAAAAAGGAAAAAGACAAAAACAAACAAACAAAAAAAAAAAAAACAAGAAAATCAAGTGCACCGGGAGCATTTTCTCTAAGAATAGTAAAATAGGAAAGCTTGCGTCATATTGAATGGAGACAGTGAAAGTGTCCCTCTAGGGTCTGCAGCAAGAAAGGACTCTGCTCCTTTAGCCATGTTTGGCACAATGCTGGAGGCTCAGCTGGAGCCATGGGACAGGACGGAGGAGCAGAGACCTCCAAACTGGACGGGGAAGTCACGCTGCCCATTTGCTAACATCATCTCGTGGAGAAAACCTGAGCATCCTTCCTCCAAACTGTGAGATCACAGAAGTTCACTTGTAGAATATGTGATCCTATACAAAAGCCAGTAGTGTTCTACACAGCAACAATGAACTAACTGAACAGGGAATCAAGAAAACAATCTTAGTTACAATAGCTACACAACAAAAAAAGTCAAAGACCAGCCTAAGAGTAGACTTAACCAGGGAAAGGGAAACATCCACATTGAAAGCTGTAGGACATTGATGAAAGAAATGGAACATACACATTCACAAAGCAAAGACAGCCTATGTTTGTGAACTGAAAGACTTAAAATGCATATGGGCCCACCGAAGACCCCAGATAGCCAAAGCAGTCCTGACTAAGGACAGAGCTAGGGGCATCCATACCTGACTTCAAAACACTCTACAAAGCCATCATAACAAAAGCAGTATGGTACTGGAATAAAACAGACCAAGGGAACAACAGAGAATCCAGGAATAAATCCACATATTTTCAGCCAACTGATGCGTAACAAAAGTACCAATAATAAGTACTGGAGAAAAGACAGGCTGTCCATATCATACTAGCAAAACAAGGTGTGTGGGTGCAGAAGAATAAAACTGGGCCTTGCTGTACAGGGCATGTAAAAAGCTCAAGGGCCCTGAAATGATGAAACTGCTACACGAAAACTTAAAAACTTAAGACATTGGTGTGGGCAAAGATCCAACCATGAAAGCACAAGAAACAAGAGCAAAAATTGACAAATGGTATTAGGTCAAACTGAAAATCTTCTGCACAGCAAAGGAAACAAGCCAGAGTGAAGATACAGCCACAGGGTAGGAGAAACATTTGCAAAGTATTCGTCTGCCAAGTGATCAGTATTCACAGTGACAAGGAACGTAAATAACAGCAAACATAATCCAGTTTACAACTGGGCACATGCCAGGGGTATAACTCGGCGGCCCAGCGCCTGCCTGGCAGGTGCAAGTTCACGAGTTCAGTTCCCAACACTCGGCCTACGGCTTATACGCCGTCTGCATGTGCTGAGCTGTGCTCCCACGCGGTCACAGTGTGGACAAGGCCGCATCATGCCGTGCAGGGTGAGCAGAGCCAGTGTGGCTGCGGCACAGGGACTCCTGTGGAAGGGGTTTCCCCTGCGCCCTGTTCCCTGCAGTGTAAAATATGTAACAGTGCATCTTCAGTTGCTTTGCAAACCCTTGTTTTAAATTTGCAAGAGAGCATCTCACTGCACATGGGGTCCCCTGCTTTTAGTCACGGCCGTCTTCAGGATCCGTGCATGGTGGCAGGGGTGTGACTCCCACCTCTACCCCCAGTGGCCCATGTCGGGTAACTGCTGTCTGTGAGCTCCTAGGCCTTTCTCTGGGTTAGTGTGATGCCCCCAGCAGCAGCTCCTGGTTGCCAGGGTCCCCGTGACATCCAGCAGGTGGCCCCCACACCCACATTGTCACTGAGAACCCAAGGAGAGAGCAAGAAATGCAGAGAATAAGGTAGAAAGGTAAAAGCCCTGGCTTCCCACACCCATGTGAGATCAGATGTGCTTTCAGGGTTCCTGGGGTCCATGTGCCACTTTACTCGCTGCAGTCAGTAGCCCACAGCTGTCACACCCACATCTTGTCTGTCATGTCTCACTAGTCACCGTGAATGATACTGGTCCCACTGGCCGGGCTCTTGGGACTGAGCGTCCTCCTGCCCAAGAGAAGAGCTGTGGGTGGAGGTGGCCCTGAGCGGCCCTGTTGAGCCTGACAGAGTGGCAGGGTGTGGCCAGCGGTGTGGCTGCACCCGCCAGGCCCAAGCTTCACGCCACTCCCTGTTTTGGGGTTGCTGGTGAGGCCACACCTTTCTGCTTCCCGGCCACAGGACGCGCTGCAGGAGATGTACGAGCAGAAGGGCATCTTCCCGGGGCAGCAGATCAAGCCCGCCCGGAGGCCGTGGACCCTGCTGAACTTCCTGTGCTGGGCCACCCTGCTGCTCTCGCCTCTCTTCACCTTTGTGCTGGGTGTCTTCGCCAGCGGGTCCCCCCTCCTGATTCTCACATTCCTGGGGTTTGTGGGTGCAGGTAAGGGGTACCGTGATCGCAGCTAGCAGTTGGGGACCCTGGTAGCCAGGACCATGAGGCCGTGGCTGATGGGCAGGGCTTGGGGGTTGTCATCTGGACCACCGGGTTGTTAAGAGCCACAGCATCTGCCTGCATAAGGCTGCCCACCTAGGAGGGGCCATGGACAGGGTCCCAGTCACTCTGTCACAGTTGGACCCACAGAGGCTGGGCTGTTGGCCCTACCGCTGTCCTTTCTGTGCCTGGCCCTGAATGCAAGGCCCCACAGCCCACACGGTCACCTGTGCTGCACAAACAGCACCGCTGTGTGGGTGCTGCCGGCTGCAGATGGTCCCCGCTGGTGAAGTGGTGTCTGGACGGATGCACTACCCACCACACTGCCCCTTGACCAGCTCCCAGCCCTCACCCCCAACAGGCTTCCTGGAGTCCACAGGAGTGTGAAAGGTCGCAGAAGTGACCAGAGCCACTGGCCACAAAAGACAGGGCTCTGGGTGTCCTGCTCGTCCATCTTGGCTCCTCTGTCACCACTTCTGATGCCCTTGTGCACAGGAGATGGGCTGGCAGGGGACACCATGTGTCCCTGAGTCTACCTGGGCAGGGAGGAAGGCCCCGGGCAGAGGGTGTGCAGGAGCCCTGAGCCCAGAGCAGCCTGAGGCGGGGCAGTGTTCTAACCACTCTCTCTCTGTCTCCTGTCTTTAAAGCATCCTTCGGAGTCCGAAGACTGATAGGAGTGACCGAGATAGAAAAGGGGTCCAGCTACGGAAACCAGGAGTTTAAGAAAAAGGAATAATTGGTGGCTGTGATCGAAGGCACGTAACCTGCCGCGATATCCAATTAACTCAATTAAAAACAGAACCGCACACAGCACGAGGAGACAGAGACATTTAGAAACTTATTTTTCTTATTAACTGGTGACTAATATTAACCAATAAAACTTGAGCCAAGAGCAAAGAACTGGGAAGGCCTGCCGGGTGAAGACGGCGCTCGGCTTGCACTGTCCCCGCCTCGGACAGAAGCCCCAGAGGGCTGGTGACCCACCTGGGCACCACAGCTGGCTCCCTGAGGGGTGTCACCATCTCTCCAGAGCTCCACTTCCAGGGGGCCTTAGGCTGCTTTCTCTTCTTAAACTTAGATGGAGGTTTCTGTTTTTATTGGTATTTCAGGAACTTAACCTGGCCCCTCAGCTCTTCCCCTGTTCCCTCAACACTGGCTCCTTGTGAATCTTCTGCTGTCCCTGGGGGGGGGGGGCGGCGGGTGCCAGCCCCCCAGAGAGCTGCCGTCCCCCTGCTTGGCACCTTGGCTTATAGAACCTGTGGTGGACCGGAGACACCCTGATCGAGAAGCACTGAATGTAAACTGCACCTGCGGACCCGGAGTGCATCCCGTCCATCCCGCTGTCCCCTTTGCCCCGCTGTCCCCTCCGTCCTCTGTCCCCTCGCACAGGGCTGGCAGGATTGAGTGCCCCTTTTGTTTTCTGCGTCCCTGCTTCCTGTTTCACTGCGTGTGGGCATCTCGCGTCTCTCCTTATAGCGCAGGGACCCTAGGGGACTCTTGGCCCCTGGGTCCTCCAGCTCCCCATCCTGCTCTTCCTCCATGTGGCCATCGGGCTGGGGCAGGCACGGGGGGCACGGCAGCAGGACCACAGATGTGCAGATGCTTGTGGCGCCCTCAAGCCCTTCTTGAGTCTGTCAGTCTGTCAGTCAGTCTCAGGCCCATGGTGGACCGGGGGAAGCTTTCGCTCATTGGTGTGAGGATGGCTCGCCCCTCCTGAGGGGAACAGGAAGCAGAGGCTGCCCGCTCACCCTCTTGGGGCCCATGTGTCCTCAAGGAGGCTGCTCCTGTCTTGGCAGGTGTCCTTGAGGCCCAAGGCCCACTCCCCACCCCCACCACGGTCCCACAGAGGACTGGCACCCGGTGTCTTCATCAAGGTCCCATGTCCTACCTGGAAAGTGTTTTTTCCTGCAGCACGAGCCCAGCCTGGCGGACAGTGGCCGCTGGGCCCCTCGAGTAGTAGGGCAGGTCTCTCCCACCTCAGCCAACTCGGGCATGGCCCTGCTGGCCAACCGCATCGGGCTTCCGTCCAGACTTCCCGCAGCCTCCTTCACCATCACACTCCCGCCCCTTTGAGCGGGGGGAGAGTTGGACAGTTGGGTGTCCTCTGGCGTGGAACCGCCATCTGAAGGTAGACGGGTTGCATGTTCCAGGGAGAGGCAAGAGAGAGGGGCAAGGGGCTTAGAGAGGAAATGGAGAGGTCGAACCGCATGGGTCCTGGGTGTTCAGAGGACCCAGGAGGCAGCCTGGGTCTGTGGAGAGGAGAGCGACGGGCCAGTTTACCTGGTCACGGGCTCTCCAGGGCCTCTTGAGGGCAAAGGTGTCCCAGAGGAACACATGTGGGCCTCCTCCTCCTCTCGAGTGGCCCCACTGGCCTGGGTGCTAAGCCACCCAGGGCCTCCCCTCCCTTCCTCCCACCGCACGCTGTTCCTTTTCTTCCGAGTGCTCCGGCCCATGTCGTCGCTGAGTAGCGAACACCACAGGGCCCCCTCCCAGACCGACATGTGAGAGGTGAGCCATGCACTGAAGATCAGGGCGCAGGCTTCACCCCCAAGACCCTTCTTCTGGCCCAGCTCCCCTAGCACCACCACCCCTGAGAGCAATAAAAACCATGCTGTGAATGTTTGGGCTTTTGGGAGAGGGGGGATTTGCTTTCATCTGCTTGGAAGGAAGAGGGAGGGGTGCACCTTTCATTTTTAAATTAAACTCTCCTGTGTCAGAATAGTGCTTTCTGTTTCCCTTTACCCCACTCCTGCGTCCTGCTGAATTCAGGCAGCCTCAGGGCCCAGGCATCTTGACACCCACTCTCGGACATCTGTGCCAGCCACGTGGGGCAGTGCAGCCCAGGCCTGGGGCCAAGGCCTGGGAGAGTTGTGGGGATGGTCCTCGGACCCATGGGAGGCCCCCTGGGACCCCAGGCCCTGCCTTTGGTTGCCCACGGGGGACAAGGTCTCCTGGGCCCCCCACTGCCCATGTCTTTTGGCACAGGCCAAGCCAGGTGCCTGGGGGTCCTATGCTCCCAGAGGGCTCGTCCACCATCTCCGTGGTCTGCCTACACTGCGTCTTCATGGTGGCCCTCCCAGGTCAGCTCAGGCAGACTTGGCTGGAGCTGGGGGAGGGCAGTGGTTCTGCCTGCCACCTGCTAGGTCCAGGGCCTACAGGACGTGTGCAGCATTTCCCAGTGCCTTCGCGGAGCTCCTGGCTTCTGTGAACGCAGCGAGGAGGAGGCAGGAAGCTCCCCAGAGCTGAGTGGTTGGAGAAGGGCATTCTCTACAACAGGGACTCTTTCCCTAAAGTAAGACCTGAGGAGAGTGCAATGGCTTCTTTCTGAGAAGTCCTTTAACTAGAGATAGAAAAGCCCTGCTGTCCGGCCTGGGACACCACAAACAGCCATTGGGCACGGAGTCTGATTGAAGAGCTGAGCTCTGTGTTTGTAAACTGCAAACTAATGTACGCCAGCCATGCGAGCAGCACTTCCTGGTAAAAAGCAGTGCAGGTGTGAGCCTGGCTCACCTCCCGCTCCCCAGCTGTGCACCATGACCTGAGAATGTCCCCTCCATTCAGCTGGCCATGGTGTTCCTGAGCACTGGTGTTGGTCTGGGAAGACCAAGATGCAGCGGTGACCCATCCTCAAAGTACAGCCATGGCCGCTCATGCACTGTTGGGAGGTGTCCATGAGCATCCTGGGATGTGGGGCCAGCAAGGAGTAGCTTTCTGCATGTGGCTTTGTGTCTGCCTGAGCCCTCACAGGGCAGGCCCAACATAACCTCTCGCCTGCCGACTTCCTAGCCCCGTGCACACACTTGTGCTGCCTGTCTCTTCTGCTCCCAGCAAGCCGCATGCAAGCCCTGGCATGCGACACGCAGTGCCCGGCAGGGTGGCACAGTTTCTGGCCCCTCTGCGGCATAGCTGGACTCAGGACAAACCCTAGAGCCAGAAATGCCTGCCTTCTGGGAACAGCACGTCCCCGGCTTCTCTAGCAGCTGCCCAAACCAAAGGCAAGCTGCCTGTAGCATCTCAGTCCTGGGGTGCACAGGAGGGGTGACCCACAGACCCAGGCTCTGGCTTGGTCCTGCAGCCCTGCTGTGGGGTCAGAGCAGGTGCTGAGCCTTGGTCTCCTGATTCTCATATTGGGGCCAGGATTCAAAAACACAGGAACAAGTTGGGGTACAGTGTCACACTGTAACCTGACTGCCTGGGTGGACCCCTGAGTTACATTTACATCAAACCCGTGCTGCCTGTCAGTGCAGGAGAGTGCGGGATTCTCACCGACAGCCCAGGAAAGAAACAGACATCTGTGCTCGCAGGGCCCAGAAAGCCACCACGATGCTGGCCCTGGAGTCCCCAGGCCGCACGACAGGTTCTGCCCAGATGGCTGAGTACTAGCAAAACTTCGATCTTTGCACTGATGAGCTCATGTGACGCCGGTTCCTAGCTTTTTAGTTTCCTAACTTTCTGTTGCAGAAGTGGACTGCGAACGAGATGCTGAAAGCACTAAATAGTTTTACATTAAACTGGAGTTATGTGGCCCTTGAGGAAATGCATCCGCTCTACCCGTATTTATTGTCTCAGAATTAGATGTTTGACAATCAAATGTTGTTTGCCTCAAGGCCAGGAGACTTGACTGGCTGCTTCATCGGACAGCTTGCCAGCACGTGCTGTAACCACACATGGGCATCTCTGTCTGGAAAACCACATTGTGACTCCGAGCGCTGCCTGCGACAGATGTGAAGTTCTTTTTCTATTACTGAGAAATCACCATACCTGACTGTTGGCCAGTTTTGCAGGAACATGTTGTATACAGGGTGCAAATGTATTGTACAGCTGCTTCCTTTTGTACACTTAATTTTTACAAGTTTTGCTACTCACAAGCTTTATAGACTTGAGAGGGGAGGTGCTCTGCTGGGAGCTGTGTCCCATGGAGGGGGGCCACGTCAGCCGCTGGGCGGAGCTCTCTCCAACTGGGCTGTGGCAGGGAGCGCGCGATTAGTGGTTGTTTTCTGGGTAAGATGCCCCACGCATCACATTTGTTTGTTAAAAATGCTGCTGTGAAAGAGAGAAATGAAATGTCCATAATACAAGAGAAAGTGACACTTGGCCTCCTTTCGTTTTATGTCTGGTCTGCCTGGACTTCTCCTGGGGGAATAATCATGGGAATTTTCCCTTGGGGCCACCACATTCCAGGCCCTGGCCTTTCAGATGCCTCAGGCTGCTGCCCTGGGCTCCTGCTCCTGTGCCTGGTGCCTTCTGGAAGGAGCCGAGGAGGAGACCTGGCAAATAGCCTAGACATGGCTGGCATGGAACATGTGCCGAGGAACCTACTGTCCAAAGCCAGGCTCTCATCCGAAGCAGGCATGTGCAGACCCAAAACTTTTTTCAAAGCAAATTCTACTGAGGAAACCAAAGAATCCCCCTTTCTGTTTTATTAGAAGAGAAAAACTTAGTGAAAACAAAGGGTATTCTGGGTTCTTGTGTGTCTGTCTCAGGAAATAAATTGTGTGAGACACATCTGGTACCCTCTATGCTCGGGAAGGCCCCCAGGTGATGGGCACTCTCTCCTGGAGGGCTGCCTCCCTCCAGGGTGGCACTGGGGCCTCCGCACTTTTGCACACGCATGCACCCCCCTGCATATCCAGGCACACACTCCAGTGCACCTGTGTGCTCACTGGGGGGGGGGTGCAAAACGTGGTCCAGCAGGAACAACCCTGTTCATAGGTAGCCTTAGAGCCTGGTTTGGGGTGTCTCCCAAAGGGGGACAGAGTGACCACAGCGGTGGGATCTGCAGAGAGCTGCACCTCTGAGAAAGTGCGTTCCTGTCTGTGGAGCTTGACAGAGAACCCACAGGTCCGGTGACATCTCTGAGGGAGCTGGCCGTACTTTGTGACCTTGGTTTTGCTGTTAGACACAAGCTTTTCCTCTGCCCACAGCCTGCACCTTGGCTGGGCCAGGCATCAGCTTCCAGTCCTGCCCGTGTCCAGAGGGACCTCTGAAGGTGTGTGCACAGACATGTGCACTCGTCAGCAGACATGTCCCCTTGGCTGGCCGTGGGCCAGGGCAGAGGCATTGGGGTGGACCTTGGAGCACACACTTGCAAGACTGGGTGCCCCTGCAGCTCTCACAGTGTCTGCTGGGGTGGAGTTGCTCCCACTATTGGTCAGGCACAGGAAACACCATGAAGGTCCCCTCTCACAAGGCTGTCACATGCTTGAATTCTCCCGAGTGGACTGCTTGGCCTCCTAGGCACCATCCCGAGGGATGCAAGGTCCTCCTTCTACAGCAGGGATCTAGTTTCCTAGCTCTGCCCTTTCCCTGTTACTGGCCAGCCCCCTCTTATCCCAGCTCTTCCTGAGGGCAGTTTCTTTTCTGGAATTCATTGGTGGTAAATTCCCTCCACTGAACATGTCTTCCTTCCCTTGGTTTGAAACAAGAAGCTAGGTGTGTGGACAATTATGGGCTGGCACTTCTTTCCCTCTCTACTTTTTTTTTTTTTTTTTACCAGTACCAGGGATCTAACTCATGACCGCCTGCTTACAAGGCAGGAGCTTATGCCACTGAGCTAAATCCCCAGCCCCTCCCTCCCTACTTTTAAGACATTTCTCAGGATTTTGTGCTTCTGCTCCTGCTAAGAAGCCTGCAGAGAGCCTCTCATTCTCTGCTGGGAGGCCTGTCCCTAATCATGGGGTCACTTCCCATTTCCCTCCTGTCAATGCAGCCTGAATTCAGCTACAATGTCTGACTGTGAATTTCTTTGTATGCAGTTTCAAGTTAGATCTGACTCCCGATTCTGAGAATCCAGTTTTTCAGTAGTGGAAGCAGCTTCTTAACTGCCACCCGGCCACATCTTGTCTGCACCATACTCCTGTTTCCCCTCCCTCCTCTGGTCTACGCTGGGCTCCAGTCCCAGTCTCCAGCCCGCTCTCGTAAGTCCTGTCTCCACTCTGCCGCCTGAGTGGCCCATGCCCATTGCTTATCTGTGTTCCAGTTTACAACTCCCAAGTTCCTGCCTGCAATCCACTGTAACCTGAATCTGAATCTTTTACACTTTAGCACTATGCATTCTTTTTAAAAGCCTGGGTTTGTTTATTTATTTATTTGTAAAGATTGAACATACTTAATCAAACTGTTCAAAATCTCAGTGCTCCAAAATCCAAAACCCAAAACACCAAGTGGGAATTTCTACCCCTGACCTCACACGACAGGTCACAGTCAAAACACAGGTGCAGTAACAGTGTCACATAATGTGATCTTCAGGTGGTATCCAAAGTAGATTGAGACATAAAGTCCTGCATCTGCAGACCTGGGTTCTGGCTCAAAGGCATTTCATTATTATGGACAAACACTCAATAGTCTGAAAACATCTGAACTCCAGAGCAAAGGCTCAAAGCCTCAGGGGCCTTCAGGCCTTCACCTCCCTCCACTACACTCCTGTTCCCAGCACGGGCATCACTTGCCCTCATTCTCCAAATCCTGAACCTCAGTCCAGAAGAACCAAGGCTGCAGGGTTGAAAAGCACCATCTGCATGTGGGCTTCTGGGACTGTTCCCAAACTGGAGGCCAGACCGCTCCCCAATCCTGGAGCTCAGGACCTGGCCCTGGGGTAGGGGTGGCCCTGGTGGTGTGGGGGTCAAGGACAGGCCAGCAGATTCTGCAGCCACAGTTCTGCTGCTATGCATTGTCCAGTGCAAGGCCGTGCCCTGTGGACCTGTGCTGGCCAGCCGGTCA